GGGGTTGCTCAGCAGGCGGCGGTGACTCAGAACCTCCCAGCCGAGGGCTCACACACCTAATTTGCCTAATTAAATACACCGCGAGCTGGATGCCTCGCAACCGCCCGGCCAAACACTGTCAGGAGCCGCTCTCATCTTCAAACGGCCTCCCCGGTCTCACCCGGGGGCTCGGAAGCATCGGAACAATGGAATCCCCGTCTCACCGGAGGCGGGCAGGTGTCAGTGTGTGTGCGCGAGTGCGTGTCTGTGTGTGTATATGTGTGTGCGTGTGAATTCAGGTGGGAGGAAAGGCCACGGAATTAAACCGCTCTCTCTGTTGGAAAAAATACACCGGGGCAAGGTGGAACTCGCGTGCCTTAGAATACATACATATATTATCAGCACAAGCGTGATCCCCAGCCGCAAAGCATGGGACTCGGTCACTCGACGTCTTCACATCTCTTAGCGGCTGATCTAGCTCTGTCGCACCTTTGCCCTTAGTTAAGATGGCGAAGATGCGCATGGCTGCCCTCAGTTATGATGGCAGCCTCAAAACAAAGCCTGCGAAGACTTCCCTCCTCCGACGCCCGGTAATACTGCTTCTTTGGGCCCCTGGAGCCCACTTCCTCCTCCTGACCTTCAGTGATATTTATCATTCTCCCGTTGGGGCCCCACCTGCCTCAGAGCTACCCAGGGGCCACAGAGACAGTGCCTGTGTGTGTGTGTGTGTGTGTGTGTTCACTGAGAAGCTCTCATTTACTTCCTCTTCCTTTGTCGGGCTTTCTAATCCTGGAGGGCAAGGCAAGAGCCCTAGCTGGTACCCACACTCGCAGCAGCGCCCACACATGTGCAATCCCACGCAGGCATGCATGCACGCTCGCTCTCATCTATAATTCTGAACACCTCCAGGTCTGAAGCCTCTCCAAACTTACCCCTGCCCCCCCCCCCCGTATCTGCTTTTGCTTTTGGGGAAAAAACAAAAAAAGACAGAGGGCTACGTTTAAGAACTCCTGCGCGATCTCCCCACCTCTGACCTTTGAACCCCGGCCCTCGGCGGGGCAATCTCCGCTTCTGCAATTACAGGAATGGCTGATTGCCACATTCTGCATGGAGGCTGGAGTGGGGAGATAAGAGGGGTGGCGATACCGCGGTGGTGGGGGGGGGATACACAGTGAGCGAGTGGGAGAGGGAGAGAAAGAGAGAGAGAGAAGGCAAGACAGCAGAAGTCAGCCTGAGAATTAAAATGACTTTTATCTCTCGCTCCACTTTCTGTCCATTCCATCTGCACCTTGATCTCCAGTTAGTGCCTTAGTTATGCCGCTATCTCAGCGCTGTCTCGTTATTGTCCTGATTATTGCGATTCTTATCTGTAACTCCGCTTTAACTGGGTCCTGGGTTTTTTTCCAAATGTCCGCCACTCTCTCTAAGTGAATACCAGTGCCAGTCGAAGCCCTTCTGGCTTCACCACCAGCCCCACCTCCCCCCGCTTTGTCCTACACAAAGTGAAACTGACTTGCTAAGTTGGCGTCCCCCCCCAGGATGGTGCCCTGGGCAGTCGCCTGTACCGCCCATCGGGTTGGCCGGCTTTGGCAAACATTCTGCTTTTGTTTGGCTCAGGCACTGAGATGACTGGTAACACTGAGGCATGGAATGCCCCCCCCCCTTCTACGGCTTTCAGTAACAGGACCACAATACCCACTGATACCAAACCAAGCTCATCCTGGCGAACCCACATTATTGCTGGGTAACAGTATTGAATGACAACTTATAATAAAGTCTCAAATTATTCACTCCTACACCAGCAACCAGAGGTAAATGTACTGATTTTGCATTAAATGTGTTAAAATGCAATGCGGCTCTGACTGGGCTTGCAGTAAAATTTATGCAGTGACAAAACCCTCATTGCTGGTTGTTTGTTTGTCATTATTCTCTCCCTGGAAGTTGGACTGCCAACACACAGGGCCGACAGCCGGTTATAAAATCTTTAAAACCTCCCGTGAAAACAAAGGACAGCGATCGATCGGCTCTCGGTGACGGGCTATTAATCAACAATCAGTTATTTACTTTTAAAAATTATTAAGTGCGGAGCGATTCATTCCGGGTTTGTTTGCATCATTGGCTTACAAGTACTTAGGAAAACGATCGTCGGTAATTCGAAAAGAAAAACACACAGCTGAAGAACAGGAATTTCGGTGGGGTGGGGGGGGGGGGGGGGGGGACCTAATGGCCTCACAGTCCCAGCGAGTGACTGGGAGCCTGCGACTGGCACCAGCCCAGCCTTGCTGTCTAACACGCTGCCAGATCCTGACAGATTCATCTTCATTATGAGGGGAGACAAGCTGAGATGTGTGTTTTTATCAATCTCCATTAATCTCTGGGCTCAATCGGGCCTCAGTATCGGGCCCCCGCCAGCTCACACACAAGCACACGCATGCCCCCATCTCACCTTCCCGGGACATATAACTGGTTGATGCAGGTACAGCGAGAGACGCTAAATCCTTAACACGTGTCGGAAACACGGGCGGGGGGGGTGGGGGGCGTGATTCATAGGCCGCGTGCACAGAAATATGCATTGGCTTCATACTTCAGAAACAGCCACATATGTCTCCTGACATTCCCACACCAACAAGCTCTTTCACTCGCATTCGGACTCATTTCAATGGCGGCCGCAAATCTAAAGGCTGATTTATTCTTCTGCGCAGAATCTGAGCCGCAGGTAGCTGCGCCGCAGCCTGAGGCCTGTCGCTGCGTCTGGGGAGGCCTGTCGCTGCGTCTGGGGAGGCCTGTCGCTGCGTCTGGGGAGGCCTGTCGCTGCGTCTGGGGAGGCCTNGAGGCCTGTCGCTGCGTCTGGGGAGGCCTGTCGCTGCGTCTGGGGAGGCCTGTCGCTGCGTCTGGGGAGGCCTGTCGCTGCGTCTGGGGAGGCCTGTGTTGGGCTGCGGTTTAGGGCTGCCGGCTGCAGAAGCATAAATTAGTCTGAAGTTGCGAGAGCTCCACTCCCGGACTACCGCTCTCGTCAGAGATCCTCCCGTTTCTACTTTCAGTTTGTTTATCATCAAAGCCGTCGGCCGATATTCTGGTACAGAAAACACCCCCGCTAGGGCAGGCTCGCCGCTCCCCTTTCCAAAAAAAGAACTCAGAGGACAGAAAAAGCAAAAAAAAAGGAGGCGACAGCAGGCAAAGTCTGGCCGAAAGTTTTCCACACGTCAGCCTTCACCTATTTATCTCTCTATCACCGCCCTCGCTATTCCCGCACCCCCCCCCCCTCAAGGGCGGGTGGCATCGGATAAATAATTAAGGGGTGTCGAGCCGAGGCAGTGTTATCAGCCAATGGGGGGCCCCGACAGATTCTTGGGGGGGGTTGCAGCCCACCACTCACGGAGGAGCTCACATCTTTGAAGGCCGGGGCGGAAAGACTGGCTCCTTCTCAGTCGGCACTGATCTCATCTGACGCTGAAGTGAATTATTTACGCTGTGGGTTAGAGTGTGCGAAGTTACTCCACTTGCTCTGCCCCCCCCCCCCCAACACTCCACAAACACCACCCACCCAGCCACACTCCCAAAAGAACCCAGCAGTACTTACCCCTCCCCCCCCCCACTAACACTTACAGAACCATTTCTCCTGAGGCTGTGCAATTATGTTTTTTGTGACATCATTGAACCCCCCCACACACACACACACACACACACACAAACACACAGTTTGCTGACCTGCACAACCACCCCCCACCCCCCCCACGCCCAGTACCCATACGATTAATGGGTAAAGTATCCTCTCAGAGGATACTCTTGTACTGAGAACCAACCCCCCCCCTCAGCTAGGCCTGGTGAACCAGATCAATTTCCCCCCCCTCCTCTGTCGGCCAGGGTGGGGGGCTGGGAATACGCTTAAGATCATTTACAGCATGCATACGGTATGCGACACGACATGAAATCCATTATAACCCTGCCAGGCTCGCCCCCCCCCCCACCACCCAGGCCACCCTCCCCCCACTTACAGTACAACACTGATCCCAGACCAGTTCCAGATTGCTGTGTCAGCTCCAGAACCCTGCCGGCCTGCTGGGTCCTCTCCCAGACAGCCCTGGGGTCCTTCACCTCCCACTGTGACATGGCCTATAGATGTCCGTGAAGTGCCCGTTTGTTTTTCATCACCTCTCTTTAGGTTTTTGGGTCACCCACCCTCCCCAGAGAGTAGCAGCTTCCCCACTCCTTATACACTAATGCAAGCAACTGCAGATTCGAGTCCCCGGGGGAGGGCACCCCCTGCTGTACGTCACTGAAACCTGCAACCCGAATCGCTGCAGTGAAATATCAGGCTATTGAAAGCGAGTGGAGCTTTGGATAATAGCATCGGCTAATGTTATCGGGTATTTAACATTGTAACATATCGAAGGACTCCATTAGACCACAGAAACTCGTGAGGACAGGCTTAGGGAGAGGAGCACTAGGAGTATGAGTGACAGGAATCCATGCAGTGACATGACAACTCCGGAGAGAGGGGCACTGAACCTTGCTTACGCAAGAGCTGACGTAGTCGGCAAACTCCAGA